GGCCAGCACGTTGAGCCAACACGCAGCGGGTTAACACAGATGTTTCGAACACGGCACGTGTTGCGTTTCAAAACGGGCGTATCAGGGCAGCTGAGTTGGGTGGGAGGGCGCCGGCTGTCCACCTTCACCGATCCTGGCGAGACCCATCCTGAGTCCAGGGCCCGTGGAAAGATGCGCTCCCCCGGCCCAGCCTGCACGGCGCACCCACTGACCCTGAGTCCAGGGCGACCCTGGCCAGAACCAATGCAGGCCTACAAATTGGCGTTGTCGTCGACGTCCTCCTCCCTCTTTTTTCTGTTCAGATGCTTTGTATGTTTTGTCTGTTTCCCTCCCCCGTCCCTCCCGCCCTCCCTCCCTGGAGGTCTACCAGGGGGTCTCTGGAGGCATCCAGCGGTCCCCAGACGTCTCCATGGTCACAGGGAGTCTCGCAGCGACCTCTGAGGGCATCCAGAACCCCAGGCAAGGACCAAAGCGCGCCCCCCAAGACCTCAGCCCTTGGACCCCGATTCTCGATATCCTCCTTTGTCTGCCTCTTCTGGGCGGCACTCGGGACCTGCCCGCCTTTTGGGCGCACGCTGGACTCCCCTTTTTCGTGGCGGAAGCGGCACCGACTACAACTAGGCTGAGGACAACGACTCTGGTCATCTGGCCTTGACTGCGGCGGGCGTGACTGCTGCATCATCACCCTATCATGTATTCGATCGGTTGCGGCACGGAGATATCCAACATCCGAGCGATCCTCACTCACAACCGTGCAGGCTGAGCTCTGCGCAGCATGCCCGCAGTCTTGGCCTCCTCGGCCTGAGACGGCGGCTTGGCTGAGCTGGCGGTCAGGAGGTAGGCGGGGCGGGATGGAGGAGAGGACGGAAGGACACGGCAAATGAGGGAGGAACACAGGGAAACAACGTACGGACAAGACACCAACGAACGCTCGCCCAACAGCTCGCTGACCGCGCGGCCAATTCAAATCCCGTCCGAGCCCCATCGACAGGTCCCCGAAGAGACCACCACGTGCTCCGCTCTAGGTCATCCCGCCAGCCCCTCAGGGCGCGAGTGGTTTAGAGCGTTTCCTCTTCCAACCCCCTTATTTCCCTTCGGGGAGAGTCTTACCCCTCCCCCTATCCCCTCCCCCTATTGGGGGCCCCCCCGCAGGTAGTTGGAGTGTCCAAGGAGGCATCGGCTGCAAGGCACAAACCATGGATTTTAGCCAAGGTTGGGGAAACATTCGGCCTCCTTTGGGGGCATGGCCAATTCAAGCCCCCCCGTCTTTGATCGATCTCCTCCCAGGTGGCCCCAAGATGGCCCCCTGGGCTCCCAAGAGTGCCCCAAGAGGGCCCCACGACCACGTATCGTCCACCCTCCTCCTCGTACCGTCCACCCTCCTCCTCTCCCTCCTCTCTCCCCTCTCGCGTTTCTCATCTGAAACCTACTCCGCCTTCACTTGCACCTCCTAAGTATCCTCCTCCTCCTCCTCGTCCTCCTCCTCTTCATCAACATAATCATCACCATGGTCATCATCGTTCCCCTCGTTTCCTCCGACCTGCAATCCTTCGCCTCTCCTCTCCTCTCCTCTCCTCTCCTCTCCTCCTTTCTTCCTCCCCCCCCCCTCGACACAGCCACTGGCGCGAAGAGGTGGGCAACGCATTTCAGAAACCGTCCACGCCACCACACGTGCCAATCAGCTACAGTCCAAGCCGCAGCGTGCCGAACCGGGGCCCTGCACGTCCAAAAGATAACGTAAGGCCCTTGCAGCACGATTCCGCCGAATCCGCAAGGCGCGCGAGAGATCGTCATTGTGTTCACGACGGTGGTAGGTCTGCCTGGGCCTCCGTTCCGCACTGGCCGGGGAGTCGACTTCCGCTACGCAGACAAGGAGACATCGGCCTATCGGCCGAAACATACACGTTTGGAGGTCCGTGCAGATTGCTCGGATCGGCGCTGAATCCCTGGGCGGCGCATCCAGGGCCGCTCCATGGAAAAACGCAGAACTCCGACACTGTATCAGATTACTTTGTGTTTCTTCTTCGAGCTGATGCGGAGAATGGCGCCAGGGGCCGGTACCGAAGCTTGCTCAGGGGCCATTTCTGGTGTCACTAAGAAGCAAAAATGGGCAGCCGACTCGCCCCGCGCTCCTCGATAACATCTCGGGCCGGACCGTCGATCCTCAATCCTCGACCCTCGATCCTCGCTTCTCGATGAGAGAGCGTGATCCACCGCCGCTTTACTGTGGAAAATTCCCCCCCCCCTCTTCCTCCGGAACCCAGGGGTCCCCCCCCCCGAAAATCCCCTCCCCTGCTGGACTCTGGACCCCCCCCCCCCTCCCCCCCGGCAAAACCCCCGCCCCTCCTCTGTACCCCTCCTCCCCCCCCCCCCTCCGAAAACCGGGGAGGGTCACTACCGGTTCGAGGCCCCCACCCCCGAACAAAAAACCAGAGAAGGGTCACTACCAGTTCGAATCCCTCCGCAAAACCGGCGGGGGACGTCACTACCGGTTCGAACCCCCTTAATTCCCCCTCGAAAACCGGGGGGAGGTCACTACCGGTTCGAACCCCCCCCCCCCCCCCATCGAAAACTGGGGGGTCACTACTGGTTCGAGCCCCCCCCCCCACCCCTCGAAAACCCGGGGGGGTCACTACCGGTTCGAACCCCTTCCCCCCCCCCCCGCTCACCGCCAGCAAACAACTCTGGGTCCCTACCACCGTCCGCACCACATCCCCCACTGCTGTCCCCCGCACCACTGTCCTCACCACCACTGTCCCCACTATTCCCACCACCGTCACCACTGTCCTCACCACTGCCCCCACCACCGTCGCACTGTGCCCACTGTCCCCATCACTGTTCCCACCACGGTTCCACTCCCCACTTTCTCCACGGCCCCAACCACTGTCCCACTGTCCCCACTGTCCCACTGTCCCACTGAGCTGTCCCACTGAGCTGTCCCACTGTTCCCACCACTGTCCCCACTGTCCCCACCACTGTCCCTACTGTACCTCTGTCCCATTACCCCTCCGCCGTCCTCGCCACCGCCCTCACCACTGTCGCCACCACCACTGTACCCTCCACTGTCCCAGTGTTTCCGCCACATTCCCACTGTCCCCACACCACTGTCCCCACCACCACCGTCCCCACTGTCCCCACTGTTCTCACTGTCCCCACCACTGTCCCTACTGTACCTCTGTCCCATTATCCCACCGCCGTCCTCGCCACCGCCCTCACCACTGTCGCCACCACCACTGTACCCTCCACTGTCCCAGTGTTTCCGCCACATTCCCACTGTCCCCCCACACCACTGTCCCCACCACCACCGTCCCCACCACTGTCCCACTGTCCTCACTGTTCCCACCATTGTCCCCGCTGTCCCCACCAGTGCCTCCACCAGTGTCTCACTGTCCCCACTCTCCCCGCCACTGTCCCACCACAATCCCGCTCTCCCCACTTCCCCCACGGTCCCCACCACTGTCCCACTGTCCCCACTGTTCCCACCACTGGTCCCACTGTCCCAGCGCTGTCCCACTGTTGTGCTGTCCCACCGTCCCTACTGTCCCCATCATTGTCCCACTGTCCCCACTGTCCCCACCACTTCCCCCACTGCACTACTGTCCCACCACTGTCCGCACCACCGCCTTCGCCACTGTCCCCACCACTACCGTCCCCACCACTGTCCCACTGTTCCCACCACTGTCCCGCTGTCCCCTCACCACTGTCCCCACCACCACCGTCCCCACCACTGTCCGCACCACTGCCCCACTGTCCCCGCACCACTGTCCCCACCACCATCGTTCCCACCACTGTCCCAACATCCTCATCATTCTCCAACTGTCCCGAGGAGCGGGCATCGTTTGCCGGCGGCGAGGGGGGGGGGTCGAACTGGTAGTGACCCCCCCTGGCCCAGTCTTCGGTTTTCGAAGGGGGGGGAATTCGAACCGGACCCCCCCCCCTTTTCATGATGGACTGGGGGGGGGGTTCGAACTGGTAGTGACCCCTCCCCAGTTTTCGAGGGGAGGGGACGGGTTAGGAACCCCCACCCCATCCCCGGTTTTCCGCCAGCAGCGGTAGAACACGCTCTTTCCGATCCTCGCTCCTCCTCGATCCTCGATTTTGATCCTCTCCTGGATACGAAAAAGGCGGCTCGCGGATCAACTCCCGCAGCTGGCCTCTCCGGCGCCACCGGCCAGCAGGGGCGCCAGTGCTCAGTGCACCGAGGAGAGCGCCAAGCAACGGGGGCCCGAAAACAGCTGCACGCAGCAGGTTTCGTACCCCCCTCGTTCCCTGTCTAAGACGAAGCCGGGATTAAGTCGGGCATGTCCCTCGACAGGAGGAATATTCCAAAGTAGTATAACATAGTGTTTTTCTATGATGTCTTAACCATTTTGGAATATTTGTTGGCTATCTTTTGTTTTTCCTCGAAAATCGGTATGCCCGACCTGAAGCCAGGACGGAGATAACATCTGGTGGAAATAAATCGAGAACCTCTGAGACCTGGCGGTTCTGGAGGATGTCTCGGGCGCCGCGGCAGGCTCAGAGCGTTCCGAGAGCGTTCCGAACGCTCTGAGAGCGTTTCCGAACGGATTTACCCTCGTCCTAGCCCCGCCCGGTATCGCCCCCCCGTCCAGCCAGACTGATCCTCGTCGTCTGGCTTTTGGGTCATACCGCTGGTCTCCAACGGCCGTTCGGGACGATCCGGGCACCCCTGGAACGCTGTCGGCGGGGCGCGGAGCTGCCGGAAAGCACCCGCAGGGTGGAAAACCGCCGAGAACCAAGGAAAACGCCCGAAAACCTCGAGCTCCGTTCGTCGTCCGAATCCTCCCCAACCCTCCTCGATCCTCCTCCTACTCCTCGATCCTCGATCGTGCTCCTCCTCGATCCTCGACATTCGATCCTCCTCCTTCTTCTCCTCCTCGATCCTCGCTTCTCGATCCTCGCTTCTCGATCCTACTCGTCCTCCTCCTCCTCCTCCTCTTCCTCGTCCCCGATCCTCGATCCGTCCTCCTCCTGCTCGCCTTCACGTGCAAGAACCTCTTCTGCAGGGAGGAAAGCCGCGCGACGCTGGTACGGTTCGTCCGCGGCCAGCGCACCGTCGCCTTCCTCTCGTCGCCGTCGCCGTTGATCTCTGTGACCACACCCTCGTCGCCAGACCGGTAGTACTCCTGTCGACAGCAGGATGAGTCTCCATAGAATCGGTGAGACGGATCGAATCGACATGTGCACTGCATGAGGTTGCACCGGCACGGAGTCGAGATCGGATCGGATCGGCTGTGCAAAGATGCACAGCAGCATCGGCAACAACGCGATGCGAGCATGGGGCCGAATCGGATCGTCGGAACCGATGTCGAGTCGAATCGGTCGGATAGGCATGCACCCTGGGGGGGGGGCGGCAGCTCGCCCCCCTCACCCTCCTCCCACTCGCGGAGGGCCAAGCGGGCAGCAAGACCCGCTGCGGCATCATCGCCGTCGTCGTCGCCGTCGTCGTCGTCGTCGTCGTCGTCGTCGTCGTCGTCGTCGTCGTCGTCGTCGTGGTCGTCGTGGTCGTCGTCGTCGTCGTCGTCGTGGCCGTCGTCGTCGTCGTCGTCGTCGTGGTCGTCGTGGTCGTCGTCGTCGTCGTGGTCGTCGTGGTCGTCGACGTCGTGGTGGTTGCCGTCGTCGTCGTCGTCGTCGTCGTCGTCGTCGTCGTCGACGCCGTCGACGCCGTCGTCGCCGTCGGCGCCAGCGGCGCCGCCAGCGGCGGCGGCCCGGCCCACAGGGCTGGCGGCACCGTCGCCGCACGAGGGGCGAGGGGCCCTCCGAGCCCGCCGCCTGCGCGGCGCCGTGGGCCGTCGCGAGGCCGTCGGAGAGGTGCCGCGGCGGCCCTCGGAGGCCGTCGGAGGTCGTCGTCGGAGGTCCCCGCGGAGGCTTTTGGAGGCCGTCGGAGGCCCGCGGCGGCCCCCGACGCTCTTGTTTGTTTTGCTTTTTTGTTTCCTCGGCGCTCTTGTGCTCAGGAATCCTCTGCGGAGGCCGTCGGCGGCCTTTGGAGCGAGAGGGAGCGAGGAGCTCCACCACTTCAGCTCAATCCGACGCCCATTCCTTGCGAGCCTCATTCCACCCGACACCGCTCAGGCGCCGTCCCGCTTCACGTGGGCCAAATTCCAAGTGGCCCAGTTCCGTTTCCATTCACGCATCGCTCCATTTCATTCATGCCGTGGCGGGGACTTACAATGTACAAGCGGTGAGGGCACGACGACCTCACGCGGGAAGGTTACGCGGGAATGCCCGCCACGTCGACCCCTTCTGTTTTCGTCGCTCCCGCGGAGCTAGCAACTGTCTCGGGTCGGCGTTCATACTTCCGCTGATCTCGAGATCGTCATCAATAGAGCTGCACACTACGGCTGGAAGTCACGATTTCGATATATTACCACACCAAATCTCGCCAGATCTCCGAATCCACCCAGAGGGCTCGCAAGGTTCTCGGTAAACCCAGATTCCAGACCTCCAGTTGTCGCAAACCAAACCACAAGACCGGGCCTGAACGGCGAGCATAGATTTCGGGCAAATCTCCGCAGTAACAGTCAGGGTCAACTGCTCGTATACGAGTGGGAACAGTTGGGGCATTAGATGAGACACCAATTAAACACTTGGGGCAACAGTCAAGGCAACAACCGGGGCAACACTTGGAAAACTTCAAGAATGGATTTCAAGCCAGGGACGGCTGGATTGTGCGGATTGGATTTGCAATGGTGGCCGAGACTCTGCTCCAGAGCAACTATGACAGCCAGCTCAATGATCGAATCATCTCGCCTGGTCGTCGTCCCATCCGCCTGCTCCTCCTTGGCTTGGGCCTCGTCATCGTCGTCGTCGTCGTGGTCGTCGGCGCCCTGGTGTGCCAAAGGTTGCGCCCAAGCTTGCGCAGTGGGGGGCACCGCAAGTTGCGACACAGGGTGCGCCGCAGTTTGTCACTGTGGGTTGCGTCCCAGGTTGCGTCATAGGCTGCGCCCTGGGCTGCGCAATGCTACACAATCAATTACACAAAGGGCTGCGCCGTAGTTTGCGCCACATGTTGCGCCATAGGCTTCTTCATGGGCCGCGCTATGGGCGACATGATACAGTCAACCCGTATGATGAGGAAGCGTGGTAAAGATGCAAGGGCCGTGGAGGGCCATGCTAACGGTTTTCGGGCGAGGTTGGCCAGCGACAGTCGCTGAGGATGGGCCGAAGGGACAAGAATGCAAGGGTAGCCTTGCAAAGCTGCTCATCCTTTGTTGTGCGGGTTGACCGCAGGCTGACTCCCTCGTCTGCCAAGGCTTGAACAGGGCGGCTTCCTGCAGGCTTCGCCCTCGGATTCCAAACGTAAGACCGCATGCGGCGGCGTGAGCAGTCCGGCCCAGCCTGTTCGTGAGCGGGTCAAGCCAATTACCTCTTGAAAGACATACTCGGCCTGATTACTCCAGGAATCACAGCGGCCAGCCAGTCCCACCAGCCCTTTGGGCGACAGGTGGTTTAACGAGGGTCTCTTCCCTCTTCCACAACCCCTGTTCCCTTCGGGGAGGGGAGCCCTCCCCCTCGCCCTCCCCTCCCTGAGGCTTTTTGCCAGGGATCGCGAGGTGTCGGAGGCTCCATCTTCGGCCATTGAGAGGGACATGTTCTGCCCCCCCTCGAGAGGATCGTGGCCCCCGAGGGGGGGACGCTAATCGAGTACCCCCCCTCTTTTGACCGACCGCCCCCAAGATGGCCCTAAGAGGCCCTCCAGGGCTCCCAAGAGGCCCCCAAGAGGGCCCAACGAGCGCCTCAAGAGGCTTCCAAAAAACACCCGAGAACCTCTGAGAGGCCCCCGAGCGGCCCCCGAGAGACCTCAGAGAGCCCAACATGACATCCAAGATGGCTCACGATTTTTAGCTCCCCCTTTTTTGATCGATCTCTTCCAAGATGGACCCAAGAACGCCCCCAAGGCTCCCAAGAGCGCTCCAAGAGGGCTCCAAGACCGCTCCAAGATGGCCACTGCGAGGGTCAATTGTGGCATACCCTCACGAGGACCGTAGCCCTCGATGGGGGGGCGCACATTGAGTACCCCCCCCTTTTGACCGACCGCATCCAAGATGGCCCTAACAGGCCTTCAAAGCTTCCAAGAGGCCGAGCCCAAGATGACCTCCAAGATGACTCAAGGTAGCTCAAACTGGCTCAAGATGGTTTCCAGGATGCTCCACAAGCCCCCAAGACCGCTCCAAGACGGCTCGGTCGAGATGGCCACGGAGCCCCCCTAGGAGGCCGCCAAGAACCCTCCAGAAAATCAATGAATTTGGCCTTCTCGCCTCTTTGTGTTCAATAGCCCTCCGAGGCCTCGAGATTGCTCTAAGATGGCCCCAGAGGGCCCCAAGAGAGACCCAACCGAACTGCTCGTTTTGCTCCTCCTGCCTCTTCCTTCCTCCTCCTCCTCCTCCTCCTCCTCCTCCTCCTCCTCCTCCTCCTCCTCCTTCTCCTCCCCCTCTTCGCCCCCGTCCCCACGCGGGCCCGGAGATGGCCCCAACACGCCGTCCAGGCCGGGCCCCATCGCTGTTTTACTATGCGTGTCTCTTCCTGTCTCCCCCCGTCAGCTCTCATGGGCATCGTTTCTGGACGGGCTGGTGGGGATATTTTTGGGGCACGCGGGCGCGTGACGCAAGTCGAACGCCGAGCAAGCTAAGGCGGACCGCGCAGCAGCGAAGGAAAAACCAGAAAGGCTGGTGGGGACCTTTTTTTGTTCGCGAGCGTCGCGGTCCAACCGCGCGCCGTCCAGAAACGAGGCAGCCGCGCCAAGATCTAAATGAGGCACTAAGCGCGCAGGAGCGAACGACGCTGCGACCCAGGAGGCGAACAGGACGCTGAACAACGGGCCGAAAACGCCGATGCCGTAGAAAACCAGGAGGTGAATCCGGTCCACGCGCAGCGCAAAAATCGCGAAGTAATTCATGCCCGAATCCCCGAAGACCACGTCCGCGTACTCGACGGGGACGATGACCACGGCGACGTAGTCGAGGAAAGTAACCGTGCAGGCGCTCAACGGAGGACTCCGGATCGCCAGGGGGAAGTCAGGAGGAACGAACAAGGAGCCCCTTGCGTGCAAGGAAGGCACGAAGGCGGGAGCCGCGGCGGTGGGGCAAGGACAGTGCCAAGCAAAGTACCGACAGCGAGGCGGCGGAACGCCAGGAACGCCAGGAACATCGCCAAACTCGTGGGGGCGAGGCCCAGCCGCGCTTTTTTTTTTTTTTTTTTTTTTTTTTTTTTTTTTTTATATATTTTATATTATTTATTATATATATATATATATATATATATATATATAAATGCGGCCCGCAAGGAGAAGTCCAGAGGGCGGTGCGACCGAGGGAAAGCTGTTGGGGATACTTTTTTGTACAGCCGCAGGCGGAAGCGCCAGCGGCAGGCGGTCGCGGTCGGGCTGCGGCCGCGACTAAGGAGCGGGCGCGCGCGGGGCCGCGGTCAGGCGGCAGGCAGCAGCGACCCAGGGCGTCTGAGCCAAGGCGTGCAAATCCAAGGAGTCTGCAGGGCAGCCCCTGAAAGGAACATGCAACGGCGCATCCAGGGAGTCTGAACACAGGCACCGAGGAAGCAGAGCGCAGCCGAAATGGCGCGTAAGGCGTTCCCAACAGTTCGAATACGAACGGGTAGGAAACGGCCCCGAGCGAGACGTCAATCCAGGGAGTCTGACGGGCAACACAGACTGACTGGTGACACAGTCCAGCGGGGAAGCCCTGACGGCGGAGGCGGACCATCGCGACGTCAGAACACGCATCCAGGGTGTGGAAACCGAGTAGCCAGAGAAAGAACCTTCCACAACTGAGATGCGCCTGAGCCCTTGGGCCAGCGACTGGTAAGAGCACAGCAACGTGCACAAAGCCACACGGTAGGATCACGTGATAGCTGAAAGTGCACCACCAAAGTGACTCAGCGCCACACATACGCGTGTAGGGTAGCACCCGAGGGACGGGACCGTCGTATACCCAAAACGCGTCCCTCAGAGTCACTTCGTTCCAAGGGCACGGCTGAAGGCCGTTAACAGGTTGAGAAACCCAGGGGGTGACGAATCTATGGACAGGCGAGACCGCCAGGGCCCACAGACGCGCGCCAGGCCGCGCCTGGCGGGCGAAAACATCTACAGTAAGGCCGGAGGCCACAGGTCCAC